CCATTTTCATAGACTATCAGTAAAGAAGTTCTCAAATCTTGTAACACGGCTTCTGTATTGCCATTGCCTGGCTAAATACCTCTTCTTGCATATTTTACTGGCCTCCTAAGTGCAGAATAGAGATTCTTTTTCTGTTGTTCCATATTCCTATAATAGCATTAACGCTAAGATGGGCAACAGGTAACCTAAGACCTCAGTTACCTTTGACTTTCCTTCACTTTACTCAGTTGCTAAGTCCTCCCAATTCTATTGACACTTCCTCCCCTTCCTATTCATTTCCCCTGCTACTTCCCTAGTTCAGTTTTTTATTATTTTCTCACCAGATTGGATCTAACAGCAATAACTGGCTTTCACGATCCTGTTCTCCTCTCCCTTTAATTCATCCAAAATGTACTAGTCAGATTAATATTCCTCAAGCATCTCTCTGATGATTTCACTCCTTGTTAGAGCAACAGAATGACAGTTTACCATGGCTCAAAAAAATAAAATCATATTTTGTTAGCAGAACATTTTTTTCTAAAGTGTATTTATCACTTCCCTTCGCCAGCCCCAAATTCCAGTTGTGAAAAAATGTGTATACTTTTTCAATTGAAATAAACTATGAAGTACAAAGAAAGAGAAACAAAATGGGGAAAAGGATCATCACTTGTGGGTGGGTGCATGTTTTCTGACAGCTTGTAAGTGTTCTAAGATTTAATATTATGTAAGTTCTTGGAAGGGTGGGGTGGCCACATCAGCTACAGGGGCCATGGACACGTGGTCATGGAATATGGCGAGCAGATGGACAGGGCTGGGTGGAGGAGACCCACCCTGGACTTTTTCAACCAGTTACAGGCAAGAAGGCAAATGACTACATCTCCTGAACAGGAGCGTGTTACTAGTAAATGGATACAGATGAACAGAGCTTCTAGCACAGGGCACGTGAGATAAATATAACTAAGATTAGAGCACACATTTCTGAAACACTCCGTTTTGCTATTTGGAACCACCGAGGAGCTTGTACTTCCAGATTAACCTGGTCAAGGATATTTGGGCAAGCCCTCAGAGGTCCAGAGACCCTTGAAAATAGCAAACTGAAGAATCTTGATTAACTGGCAAAAAGCTGTTTTTATACTAAACATGCTGCTGCCTGTACAGTGCTTTGCTGAAAAATGGAAAAAACTTTCTATTCATCTACAGCTTTCTATCCCTACTTATTGTAAATGGAATAAGCTACCTGGATTTTGCAAATCAGATAACAAAAATTCTGCAAATGCTGGTTAGGAATGGGCCAAATTGTTTAGCTAAACCCTCTTATCTCTGTACTTATGCCAAAAGTAATCTTTGGTTTATTCTATGAATTATAATGAACTCTGAATTCACAGGATCTGAACTTAAAATGTTTTCCTATGAAAAGATGCACGTTAATTAAAGATAAATGGAGCAAAAAAAGGAAGGCTAATCAGGACACCAAACAAAGGTGTGAAGAATAACAAAACTCTTGCTACATTAAAGAACGAGTGAAGTTTATTCTCTGTGGTTGCAGTGTTTCTCTTACCTGACAGAATCAATGCACAGGTCTCCCCTGTTTTCCAAAACTTTTCATTATGCCCCTTTGCTTTTACAAAAAAATGTACATTAGTATGGTAATTGCCTTTTTAATAAAAGCAGAAATCTTTATATTTCATTTATTTAGTGAGAATGAGTACAACAAGAGTCTTCCCTAAAAGTGAAGTGCGTAATGTAAACTTTCAGAAAGCGGGGTACTCTGCTTTATGCCATTTTGTCTTATGAAAGGTTTCATAGGAACCTTTCCTTTTGGATAGTGGGGGGAACCTATAATGGTAAACTTTCTGTTGCAGTTGGTAAAGAGGTAATCTTACTAGTTGTAGCAAATTTCACAATGTTCTCCAAAACTGCCAAGGGTGTTACTGAATGCAGGAATAAAAAAATCTAAAGAGCCCTAGCTGGTATGGCTCAGTGGATAGAGCGTCAGCCTGTGGATGGAAGGGTCCCGGGTTCAAATCCTGTCAAGGGCACATGACTAGGTTGCGTGCAGGAGGCAGCCGATCAATGATTCTCATCGTTGATGTTTCTATCTCTCTCTCCCTCTCCCTTCCTCCCTGAAATCAATAAAAATATATAAAAAGTCTAAAGAAATCAGAGCAGACTTAACTTATATTCAATGTCCTCAGAGCCATTTCAACAAAACAAAACAAAAACAAATCACGCAGAACATTTTTGCTTGCTAATAGTCATTAAGAAGTAAAACCATTTTACTGTGATATATCTGAAATCTCATTACTTCATCAAAACATAATTTTTCTAAATCTTCAGCCTCTATTTGACCTCAAGACTCTATGCAATCATTAGTAATACCAATGCTTTTCAGCTTATCCAGATTAATTCTGCAAATAGGGCCTTATAATTTTAAATGATGAATAATGATGCCATTATAAAATTTAGCCAAAGTAAATGCTGCACAAAGCAACTTTTCTTCTACATGTTTTCCTCATATATGTGAGGTACTGTAGCATGGCAGTGAGAAGTGGGGTTTCTGGAGTTAGATTATTTAGAATTGTGTACCAACTCTATCATTTATCAGCTGTGTGATACTGAGCAAATGTTTATTATCTGTGCCTCAGTTTCCTTATCTGTAAAATAAGGGTAATGACAGTACTTACAACTCAAGGTTATTGCATTTTAAAAAGGTGAAAGTACACATGGGCAATATCAGTAAACACTAGCTATTCTCATTATAGTCATAAATATTAATATATGTGTATCATAGAGTCATTAATATTTTTTTGCAACAAAGACTATAAACTTAGCCTAAAATACACAGTCAGATATTTTGAGCACAATATAATTTTTTCTCAGTAAAACATGAAAGCACATAGAACAGCTCACAGGTCACTCAGTAGGTGGCAATATAGTATTAGTTTTAAAATAATGCTTCTTTATTTTTTTGGTAATCTTCACCCGAAGATATTATTTCCATTGATCATTTTAAAGAGTGGAAAGTTGGGGGGGAGGAGAGGAGAGGAGAAGATGAGGAATTATCAAGTGGAAAGGCAGATGGAAATTCAGAGGGGGAGGAGAGGAGAGATGAGAGAGACACATCGATTGGTTGCCTCTTGCATGAGCCCCAACCAGACTGGGGATTGAACATGCAACCCAGGTACATGTCCTTGACTAGGAATCAAACCCATGACCCTTCGGTCCACAGGCCAACACTGTAATCACTGAACTACATGGGCCAGAGCAATGCTTTCTTATTTTTAATGCTATTTTTTAGAAGCTACAACTAACCATTACATTCAGATGAGCAAGACTTTCCTAAAATTAACTCTATCACATTATTTAGCATCTTATAAGCTTGAATATTATTCTTTCATTCAACAGTTTAGATTATGTCTCAGTCATTGCAAACCTTTTCAACAGGAATGTATTTTCTGTTAATATACTGCAAGATACATAGTTTTAGATTTTTCTTCTATAAAACAGATTTATTTATTAAGTATAACAAAAATAAAATTGTTCCTGGATTCCAAAGGAGTTGACATCTCAATACAAATGTGCAGCAGGGAAATTCACATGCTGAACATATTCTGAGAGAGATGTTTATGACTGACTGAACACACGGAAGAGAAGAAAACATCATCAGCAAAGAGAGCCTTACTCTCTGAATTCAATTTATGAAACTCAGGTAGTGTGTGAATTGAGAGAGCAACAGAAAGTGGAATTGTTTGTGAATAACTTCAAATGGAAGGAAGAAGTAGAATCCTTTATCTTTCAGAACATGATTTGGCTTTAATTCTGCTGGAAGGTAGCAAAGGGGTGGTAGGCTGACTAGCAGTGGTGATAGCTCTCATGCTTGTCTTATTCCTAATCTCAGAAGGAGAGCTCTCAATATTTCCATGGCGTCTGCTGTTGGTGTTTTGTAGCTATCTCCTGTCAGATTAAAGAAAAATTCTCTTCTATTCTTAGTTTGCCAAAAGATATATTTTAATCACAAACAAGTGCTGACTTTAATCAACTGCTTTAAAAGATGATCATTTAACTTTTCCCCTTTATTCTGTCAATGTGGTAAATTCTACTAATTGATTTTCTAATGTTAAATGAACATTGCATTATTACAACAAACTCAACTGATTTGCAACATCTTATCATTTGTGCATATTGTTTGGTGAGCTGACAGTAAGAATTTTGGTGTATATGTTCATTGAGATTGCCCAGAAACTTTTCCCTCATAATTTCCTGTTTATGTTTTGATATGATATGAAGGTTATGCTGGCCTCATAAATTAAGTTCGATAGTGTTGCCTGTTTCTGTTTTCTGAAAAGGCGAGATATTTATTCCTTAAACATTTGCTAGAATTAAATAGTTAAACTATCTGTACATGTAGTGGAAGGTTTTAAATTAGAGATTCAACTATTTTTAGTTGTTATGAGATATTCATAATTTCTGGGTTTTTATTGTGGTCCAAATTTCAGCAGGCTGAATTTTTGTATTATTTTTATCCTAGTAAGCTTATAGAACATAGGTGACAAAAAGCATACATTTATTAGATATATAAGTATTGCTGAAATCTATGTGGATAAGAACTATATTTAATGGTAGTTCTTTCTATTTCTTGGTTACTTTGAGTTTACCTTATTAAAATGAACTGCTTTGGGGCACAATTTTCAAAAGCATAATTGTGGTACTAAAAAGACTGAGAATACAGTTTGTTTTGAGTTAAAATGAAAAGATGCAGTGGCATTCCTAGTATACTTAACACCTGAAAGGAACAATTTTTAACACCTTTTCCTCTAGATGACAAAAGTATCTTCAGTAATGATGATGAAATGAAACAAATAATTATTATGTCCAGAAAGGAAATGCAGACAGTGACAATTTTCATTTATTAAATTTTGCATGTCAAATAATGCTAGTAAAAAATTAGTAAAAACAATAAAAGCAAAGTTTTAAAATTTTTAAGTACATTAACATATTTTTAGAAAAATATATATACCTACATGTTGATTTTTCCAGGGTGATGAATAATCCCATTGCAGTTTCTGGCTTTGAGCCTTCACTTCTTCAAATTTGTCAATGGCTTTGTCAAACTGATCTTCACATATTCATGGTGGATAGAATCAGGATAGTGAGATGTGTCAATCTATCTTCACTCATAGTTGATTGAAGGACACTTTATTTTCATTTCAAATGTTTCTTTCACATGAAAAAAAAACCAGATACACAAATGGTTAGGAAAGCTTTAAAATAAAAATGTTTATCAGGAATTCATAAAAATCCCATTTAACTGTGAATTCCAGAAATAACAGTAGCATCCTTGTCTTTGCTCTTTGCAATCAGTTCTGGTTAGCTTTCAAATGTTTCTGCAATTGAAACTTTTCCCCTAAAATACTTTCACCAGAAAATTTATCATAAATATCTATTATATTTGGTAAAATTCACCAAAGCTTATAAATGGTTGTATATTATTTGAGCTTGCTTCAGGCTCAGTTCATATTTCTAACCCCTGTTGTACTATGGAATCCTGTGTTTCAATATAGATTCAAAATAAACAATTTGAGCACAGTGATTGTGAAAATGAAGAAACAGAACTTGGCTGCTTATTCTTGAAATAAACATGTGTAGCTGAGTCCAGTGCAGGGGAGTTAGAGTTACTTCCATGTAGAATGCAATGTTTATTATAGGGGTGGGAGTGGCTGGGGAGGGGTTGATGGGGGACAGAGTTACTTCCATGTAGAATGCAATGTTTATTAAAGAATAAGCAATAGGGGTGGGAGTGGCTGGGGAGGGGTTGATGGGGGAAAAAGGAGACGTATGTAATACTTTAAACAATAAAAAAAGAAATTTAAAAAAAGAATAAGCAATAAAAAACATGGTCATTTTTAGCTTACATATAGTATATTATTAAATTTCAGGCCCGGCCAGCGTGGCTCAGTGGTTAAGCGCCAACTTATGAACCAGGAGGTCAAGGTTCAGTTCAGTTCTTGGACAGGGCACATGCTCAGGTTGATTTATTTCTGAAAATATTCATAAAAAATACAAATTACATTCCCTTTTGCTCCTTCACTAGGCGTGGTTAAATTATACTGTGCTTCATTTTTGCTTATCTGCCGTCACTGGCAGTGAGTAATACAACTTACTCTGATGTAATGGAGTGGACAACAAACTGATATATCAAGATTAAAATTTTGGTAAGGCGCACAAACCTCTGAAGTACCGTTTGAGGTACGCCTGGCCTTATCTGACACTTTCAGCACCCTATCACAAACTGAAGGGTGGTAACTGCTCAGTACATGCACATCCTCCCAGGTCTGGAAAGGAAATACCTGGGAAATTTAATTAAAGTTTAAGTGAATCATAATATGAATCCCAATAGACTGCAGCAAATATTAAATTTCTGGTTTGCAGCTTAAAAAATAACTTAAGATACGGTAAAATTCCACTATTGTAAGAATATAGTATTGCATCAATTGTAGTAAGTAAAAGAACTGGAAAAACAGCATTAAATATTTTTGTGGGGTTTAAACTAGCCAAAATGACTACACCTTTTAAGGTGTTTATAAGGTGTTTTTTATGCTTCATTGACAAATTTGGCTGAAAGAACCAAACTAGTCTGTCTTAACAGTCACAAAAATAAATGGAATGCCCATTTGCTTCCTGTTTGGTTCTGTTGATGGACTAATGTTCCCTCCTGCGATAGCCATTGAGGATGTTTATATTCTTGACCCCTCACAGGGAAGCAGGAAGGAATCTGAACTCTGAGGACTTGATGTACTTTTGGCTTTGATGTGCTGCTCTGGCCTCTGTGGTGGAAGTGAGCATGCAGAGGGACAGACCTGAACTTGTACTGAAAGCAGCAAAAACGACAACCAAGAGTCTGATGTTTAGCAGTGTGTCTCTAAATCAACTGGTATAAGAACATACTTTCTGTAGCAACATACATAATGGTTTCAACTGCCCTCAAAATTAGGCAGATAAAATATACAAAAGAAACAAGGCATTTTCTTAAAAATATGTAAAATAGCCAATGAGGTAGGAAGTATGTACCAATAATGGGCCTACTGACAACAAATTGAAATATTTACCAGGAGCATTTTGGAGTCAAGTATTCCACTAAAGGGGAATCAAAATATTTAATGGGGGATAGTGGGGAGCAGCAGGCGTTTGTATTTTTTTAAATCACCAGGTATACTTCTGACATGAAACCAGCATTATGGGCCATGGCTTTGGACACCATTAATTGCTTAATTTAATGCAGTATAACAGCATGCTTTAGAGCAGGGGTCCTCAAACTTTTTAAACAGGGGGCCAGTTCACTGTCCCTCGGACCGTTGGAGGGCCGGACTATAGTTTAAAAAAAAACTATGAACAAATTCCTATGCACACTGCACATATCTTATTTTGAAGTAAAAAAAACAAAACGGGAACAAATACAATATTTGTATTTGCATGTGGCCCGCGGGCTGTAGTTTGAGGACCCCTGCTTTAGAGTATGGGTTTTGGAGATAAACAAGTTTGGATCAATTTCCAACTCTGCCCCTTTACTAGCTTCATAAGCATCAGTAAATTACTTAATCTCTCTGTATCTCATATATTCAACATCTAATGTATATTTGTTGAGTGCTAGGCTGTGTTCTAGACATATAACAGTGAACAAAATAAATGAAAATTCCTGCCCTTGACTGTCAAACTACAGCAGGAAGGCTGGTGAGGGTTGGAGGGCGGGACGGGGGGTAAGAGATCAACCGAAGGACTTGTATGCATGCATATAAGCATAACCAATGGACATAAGACACTGGGGGGTAGGAGAGGCCAGGGGAATGTCAAAGGGGGGGGGGGGGGGGACATATGCAATACTCTTTGTAATACTTTAAGCAATAAAACAAATTTTTTTAAAAAAAAAAAGAAAATTCCTGCCCTTGTGCCATTTACACTCTAGAGTAAGGATAGTGACAAATGACAATATAATGTGAGTGTGTGAGTGTGTGTGAGTGTGTGTGTGTGTGCGACAATATAATGTGTGTGTGAGTGTGTGTGTGTGTGTGTGTGTGTGTGTGTAATATAACAACACAGGGGAAATCTGGGATGAGGGGGGAATTGAGAGAAATGTCTGTATTGGATCTTCCAACCTCATAAACTTGTAAAGATTTAACAGAGTTCATATGTAAGGTGCTTGGAACAGTGGCTGGCACATGTTCAGTAAGTGCTATCTGCCATTCTCTTATTGTACCAATGAGGGAATTAATATCCAGAGAGATGGAAGAATCTTCCCAGGTACATCTAAGAGAGGAGGCAAATCAGGCTCAGGGCTATTCCTACCTGCCCCTTCTCAACTCACTCCTAGAAGAATTTCAATATGGCGCTAGAAGACAAAGACTAAAACAATGGAACCAGAGCTTGCCTCTTGACACAGATACCTGTATCTGAATGTAGTTCTTGTTGGTGCCGTACATCAGAAGCAAATATTGCTAAATGCAACTTTTGTCATCCCTGAGGACATGGATAAAATAAAGGGCTAAAAGAACACAACCTGCCTATAACTCAGGCCAACTCCTTAAGCAACTTTGTATTAAAATAGTCTTATGAGGGGCTATCTACTGGTCTCCATTTATACCATAAATAGGCAAACAATGGCTAAGGAAGACTGTAAAAGAACACTATAAAATGCATTTTTGACACAACTTAATACACTACTACTACTAATTATTATTATTATTTTTAATCTCCCTTAATGCAATAGTACTATCTTGTGAATAAAGAACATATGATAATTTCTTGAAATATATTTGGGCCCAAGCAGTATTTTAAAACATTTTTATTGTCAAATGGAACTTAGAAAACTTACAGGAGACCAGAAATTAGAAAAGCATTAATTGAAGACATCTTCTTGAGAAACTTATTGGGATAAAGTATCTGAGTCAAAGTCCAATGAGATGTCCAAACAATCCTTCTAACTATTAGAATGACTAATATTTGTTTGGGTTATGAGATAACTATAAGGGTTAAGACCATATAATGCGAATGAGTGAAAATTTATTCCCATGACCCTCAAAACTAAAAACAATTAAATTTGACATTGAGTAAAGGAAAGAGGAGCAACTAATTTAAACATGTTGCAGAACATTCTAGAACCTATGTGAAAAACATAACTTGCTCTGTTAGTGTCATGCCTTTTGATAACACAGCAAAATCATTTATCTTTATCATGAAAGCATATGAAGCAGAAAAGAAAAAGACAACCCAGTAACTCTGGTTGTAGCATAAGAGATTAAATTGACAGGGGAAAAAATGGGGAAAAGGAAATCATTAAGGCAGTGGCTAATAATCTGGGGAACAAAGATAAGTGAAACTTGATGTAAACAGTGAGAAAGTTGCTCCATACCTAGAAGGGCTTTAGTTTACATGTAATTCATTTCTCTATGAATTTTTCCTCTGATTCAGGATATGAGTTAGCATAAGTTACTTCAACTCTGCATGCAATTAATTTATTAGAACATTTATATGCAGCCTGGCCAGTGTGGCTCAGTGGCTGAGCATCAACCTATGAACTAGGAGGACACGATTCGATTCCCAATCAGGGCACATGCCCAGGTTGCAGGCTCAATCCTCAGTAGGGGGCATGCAGGAGGCAGCTGATCAATGATTCTATCACATCATGATGTTTCTATCCCTCTATCTCTCCTTCCTCTCTCTCTGAAATCAATAAAAAAAATCTTTAAAAAAATTTATGTGCAAAGCATTTAAATATACATCAACAATAAGTGTGGGTAAGTATATGGAGAAAAGGGATCTCTTATGCACTGTTGGGTTGGACTGTAAATTGGTGCAGCCACTATGGAAAACAGTATGGAGGTTCCTCAAAAAATTAAAAATAGATTATATGACCCAGGAACTCCACTTCTGGGTATTTATCTGAAGAAATCCAAAACACTAATTTGAAAAGATATGTGTACCTCTATGTTCATTGTAGCATTACTCATAATAACCAAGATATAAAAGCAGCTTAAGTGTCCATTGATAGACAAATGGATACAGAAGATGTGGTTCATATATACAATAGAATATTACTTGGCCATATAAAATAATTAAATCTTACCATTTGCAACAGCATGGATGGACCTAGAGGGTATTATGCTAAGTAAAATAAGTCAGTCAGAGAAAGACAAATACCATATGATTTCACTCATATGTGGAATCAAAAGAACAAAATAAATGAACAAACAAAACAGAAACAGATTCATAGTACAGAGAACAGATTGATGGTTGCCAGAAGGGAGGGTGCTTGGGGGGCTGGGTGAAAACGGTGAAGGGATTAAGCAGTACAAATTGGTAGTTACAAAGCAGTCACAGGGATGTAAAGTACAGCATAAGGGAATATAGTCAACAATATTAAAATGACTTATACATGATGCCAGGTGGATACTTGAAATATCTAGGGGTTCACTTTATAAAGTATATGCTTGTCTACCCACTATGATGTACACATGAAATTAATACAAAATAATATTAATTGTAAACTGTAATTGAAAAATAAAATGTAAATTTAAAATAAAATCTGTGTTACGACCTTAGTGATCTCAGGCTGAGAGTGACTTTAGAGATTATCTAGTTCAAGCCTTGATTTTGCAGAAGAAATGACAGAACTGAGAGGAAATGTGTGGAATTCCAGGGATTACGTGGTTAGTAATAAGAGGACAACTTTTTTTTTTTTAAGAACAGTTCATTGATATTTAGAGAGAGAGGAAAAGAGAGAGAGAGAGAGAACAGAAACATCGATGTGAGAAACAACGATCCCCTGCCTCCTGCACCAGGAATCGAACCAGCAACCTTTTGGTGCACAGCATGATGCCCAACCAACTAAGCTACACCGGCCAAGACACGACAATATTCTTTATTTTTTCAGCTTTGATGCACATAATACATCAATGGAGAATGCAGCTAGGCCTTGAAAGATAAAAGGGATTTGACAGAAAAGTAAAGCACATAGCTGCTGCCCTCAGGGTTCACTCCCCAGTGGGAGAGAAAGACAGCAACCAATTAAAACACAGAATCCTAGTAGATTACCTCTAAGCAAGGTGCAGGGAATACACAGAGGAGGTGCATTAGTCTGCATGGGCTGCCATAACAAAATACTGCAGACTGCACGGTTTGACCAACAGAAGTGCATTCTCTCAGTTCTGGAGCTCAGGAAATTCAGGAGCAAGATGCCAGCAGATTAGGTCCCTGGTGAGAACTCTTTTCCTGGTGTCTCTTCTTATAAGGCTCCCACTCTCAGGACCTCAAGTAACCCTAATTACCTCCCAAAGGTTCCATCTCCAAATACTATCACATTGGAGGCTAGGGCTTCTACATAATTTCAGGGAACACAGACATTCAGTGCGTAACAGGAGAAAAGTGTTCACTCCGCCTACAGTACAGGAGCGTATTGCAGACGAAGTGACTCCTGAGCTTGGTCTCAAAGCAGGCGTAGGAGCTCACCAGTGGAGGGGCAGTGGGAGCACACCTTGTAGAGAGAACAGCAGGAACAAAATGCAGGAGGAGGGATGAATGGTGAGCATTTCAGCATAGATAGAATAAGGAGTGCCTGTAGGGAAAAAGTAATTTGAGACCAGATTATAAGAAGTCCCCAAGCATGAGACTGAGGAGCTTAAAATCTCTTCATATGGGCAGTGGGAAGTTGGTAAAATTGTGTGTGTGCTATAATAAAGTCTGTTGTATGGATAACAGTAATACAAGTTTAATATTTGAAAACTGAAATTAAAAAATTTAATGTTGAAATCATTAAAAGTTACAGGAAGATTGCAAGAATAGTACAAAGAACTCCTGTATACTCTTTACCCAAATTTACCAATTATTACTATTTTGCCACTTTTGTTTCATTATTATTTTTCTTTCTTTGTATAACATATATATTATTTAGACATATGGAAATAGACATATAGATATGCATGTGTGTGTATGTACACATACACAAATATATACACACATGTATACATATACATATATATACACACACACACACACACATATTTTTTCCTGAAGGATAAACCCATCTTCCATTTGTCTTTCTATCTCCTGGATGAGCCCTGAACACGGCAGACACTTAATAAGATTGAAGACTAACAACCATGTCAGAGTAGCTTACGCAAAAGGCCAGGGGTGGCCAAATTTCCTTCTGGGAAGATGAGCGGCAGGAAGACTCTGGGGATTTCCCAGCAGAATTGAGGAGCCTTTGAGTCAGAAAACCAGAGCAGCTCCTCCCCTGCTGCTGAGAATCAGCCAAACAAGTATTAACAGGGTGCCAGAAGCACATAACTCTTTGTACCAGGTCCACAATCCCTCATCCAGAATTTCCAAATCCAAAAACACTCTGAAAGTATGTTTGTATCTCATTTGGTAGCAAAACCTGCCCGGAAATGATCCTGAGCCTTTTGATGGTGTTTGTTTATCTCACTCTCTGAATTTTCATACATTTCACTGCATGACTATTAATGTGTTTGATAACAAGAACTCACTGGGGATAATAATTAATTCAGGGTATATCACGCCTGTATCCCTTTTCTAAAATCTGAATTTCAAATTCATGGGACTGTAAAGATTTCAAATAAGGAAATATGGAAGTGTATTTAAAAAGTGGGGGTAAATACTTTGCAACTTAGACTGGGGCCTTTAATGAACATTTCTCCCATGAAAATGTGAGTGGAGCTCAAAGAAGACTCCACAGGCTTTGGCACCCTGTATCTGGAACTACTCAAGGGGGCCTTCATTTCACCTGTTTTGACTCATGCTCCTCATTTATGCATCTTTGATTCTTTGCTTGATTCTGTCCCTCAGCAACCACTACAGGCCTGGCTCACCATTCAATTTAAAGCCTTCACTCTTCTTCAGGATATGGTTTTTGCTATTTGATCTCTGGCCTTCCTGAACCATACTTCCACTAAGAAAAGGGCTTACCAGCTCCTCTCTCCCATCAGCCCTGCTCCACCCTCACTGAGCTGTGCCATATGGGACTTATCACCTGCATCTGTCGCCTGCTGTCCTGACTGGAACACTGGGAGGTGGGATGTGTGTGCAAAACCGAATCAGACCACCCAGCCATTCAACCATCCAGTTGGTCACTTGTTGGGTCATTTATTCATTTAAGAAATATATACTAAAATGTCTACAAGTGCCAGGTGCTTTTCTAAGTACCTAAAGTACAGCAATAAGCAGACATATTTGATGTCATCATTTAATTAACAATCTAACAAGGGAAACAGATATTAAATAAATAATTAAAATTGTAGTACCTGCTACAAATGGGGATACAGAGTATGATGAAAGGGTATAAGGAGGAGAAAGGGTCCTAATTGGCCATAGAGGCTCAAGAAAGTCTTCCCTGAGGAAGTGACTTTTGAGTTAAGGTGAGAAAAATGAGTAGGAGGTAGCTGGGGAGCAAGGTGAAAAGGGAGAGGGGGGCAGGGAGTATAGAGGTGAGGGAGGATGGAGATGGGGAGAATTTCAGGCAAAGCAAACTACATAATAAGGACCCAAGGCAGGAAAGAACTTGGCCAAAATGTGGAAGTGAAAGCCATAACAGAGAGAGAGAGAGAGAATCTTTGTAACAGCATGGAGGGACCTGGAGAGTAATGCTAAGTGAAATAAGCCAGTCAGAGAAAGACAAGTATCACATGATCTCACTCATATGTGGAATCTAATGAACAAAATAAACTGACAAAATAGAAACAGATTCACAGATACAAAGAACAGACTGATAGCTGTCTGTCTGGAGGGATGAAGGTTGGGGCCAGGGTGAAAAAGGTGAAGGGATTAAGCAAAAAAAACAAACAAACACATAGACACAGACAACAGTATGGTGATCATAAGAGGGAAAGGGGAGTGGGGGAAGTAGAAGACGGTATTGGGGGGGGGATAAATGGTGATACAAGAAGACTTAATTGGGGTGGTGAACACACAATGTAATATACAGATGATGTATTATAGAATTGTACACCTGAAACCTATATAATTTTATTTACCAAAGTCACCCCAATAAATTCAATTAAAAGAAAGAGTTAATGTATGAAGAACTGAATTAAATAGTTCTTCCCTCTTAGGACACATAGACATCTGATAAAAGAGGTAACACAGAAGCACACCAAATGGGCATGACCTTGGGCAGGACTGGATCTCCCCGCTCCTGAAACAGTGGGTTACACAGCCTCGCTCCACATGGGTCAGGCCAGGGCTTCCAGAAAGGACTGCCATCTCCAGGAAGAACAAAAAATCAAGGCTCCTTTCCAGGTGGATCCCCAGGATAGCCTTTCACTTCCAACGGATGAGCCTACCCCCAAAAATGTTTCTCTCTCCCCACCCCCGCCCCCTGTTCATACATACACTCACTCCAAAACCTCTCAGCCTGACTCCTTCAGGAGTCCAACCAGCATTCCACAATCAAAGAATGCTCCATCTCTTAGGACTTTCCTCCCTATTTTGTTTGTTTGTTTGTTTGAATAGTGTGTGAATAAAAATCACAGTTGAAATGATTTCATCTTTAACTCTGATGTTCATAAATGTTCATCATTTAAACTCTTAAGATGGCCATGGAGTTTGCATTAGGAATCATAATCATGTGTTATCATATATAAATGACTTCACTCAGAGCAGAATTTACTCTGGCTTACTTCCATACTCCAAGACTTTTATGCTGCCGGCAGTGATTAGGAACACTGCTGGAATTCATTCTTGAACAGAACTTTTCCTGAACTGAAACTCTATACTAAAAAGCAGTGAAGAAAACTTGTTACCATTCATTTGTTTTGGACTTAGATTCAAAGGGTGGGAGGAATGGGGGAAGGACAATAGTTCTTTGACACTAGCAATAGTAAGTTAGTAGAAGGCCAAAACTCTTTTCATTAGACTTAATAGCCTGAGGCAGAATAGTCAGGAAAACAATTATGCAAAGTAAGTCTTTAGCAGGAGCGAAAAGATAAGATAAATATACTCTTCAAGCATATTAAGCCATTGCTAAATATTATACTTGATCCCTCGAAGTTATAAAAATTCCCAGCTCCTCACTACTTGTAAAAGTTTACTAAAAAGAGTGGTAAAAGTATATATTCAGAAGCTAAAGGAACTGGTACATTTGAAGTTGGGCTTTTTTCTTTCATTTTGATGTTTGTATGAAAATAATATTCAATATGAAAGGAAATGAGTACCACTAAGGACTATTTTGTATTTCAAAAATAGCAACAGATGCCTAAATGTACAACTTGCAACTTACTATTCAAACATAA